AACATTTCAGGAGGGGCAAGTTTCAAGGTGGACTTTGACTTGGACAACTAGTGAGGCTTTCTGAACAGGCAGAGCTCCTTCTGTTTATGAGACCAGATGAGCCTGGAAATTTAGAGCTGGGGGGCAGAGGGCCCCAGGACCAAGACAAACAACAGGGTTTTCTGGATGAAATGGCCTGAAGCCCCAGAGCCTAGATGGAGAAGCAGACCCACTTATCCAGGGAAGACGGACCAGGGAGTGATGCTGAGTGTCACATCTAACCCAAGTGGGAGAGTAAGTCAGAAGGCTGACAGCAGGTAAGACAGATGTAGGACAAAACCAGGAACAAGAAACACGTCAAGAGAGCCAAACCCCAGTGGGAGCGTCTATGCTGGAGCCTCTTCATTCTCTGGTGTCTGGCATGCATGTCCCAGGGGCAGGTGGGTGGCTCTAAGGAGCTAGGCACCAGGGCCAGCTGACCATTAGCCAGGACTCTGCAGTAGAGTCACACCCATTGTTATGATATTGAAATGCATCATGCTAGTTATACACATCCAGCTCCTAGAGCCCAACCAAGGCTCCTGTCACTTGACCACCCACCCCACCTCTAGGCCCCCTCAGGCCTCCCCAGACTCCAGCAACTTCAGGCTGACCAACCTGCACTAGCCCCTGTGCTAGCAGTGTTCAGATTGACCAGCTGGACACATTCGTGAGTAAATACTTTTGCATATCACCCTATGCCCTCTGTATGATCAAAACTTACCAGAGTGGCACCTTGAATCTTGATCCCAACAATGAGATGGATGAATAGTATGATTTTGATTTTACCAATGCAAGTTTTGGGGGGCTAAGCAGCAGCCTGAGAGAAGTAACCACAGGAGGAAGGCTAAGAAGTTGGCACAAGCCAAGGAGGAAACCAGGAGAATGGATGACTGGCATCTGTTCTCTCACGGCTCAAGGAACTGAGCTCAAATTTATTTCCTATGGGGAGAAATTCCATGGGTCACAGGCAAAAATCTAGACTAGAAGCTGTCTATAAAGAGGCCATCTAATTCGGTGGTTAATTAGCCCACTCCCTGGATACATTAAATACAGATGGCCAGGTTCAAGAGAGAGATGTATTGATCAAATGAAAAATCAGATGTGTGATAGAAGCTGTGTAGTACCTCCAGTAGCCTCCTGCCTGTGACACTATGAGAGAAGCAAAGGGGTAAATGACTCCCTCCCTCCTGACAGGGAAGATAGAAGGCCTGCCTGGACAACTTGCATCTCCAGAAATATTTACCCCTCCACGTAATTTATTAGTGCACACAATGTAGCACAACACAATGTGTATTTCGAGTTATAACTTACTGGAGAATAATCCCCTATGCCGTTATAAACTACAGAGAAAGGCTCAGACCACCCACCACAGAGCAGTCTGAGCTGGGAGAAGTCAAAGAAAAAAGAAGCAAGTGAGAGCTCACAAGGTGGAAGGCAAGGGCAGGCGGGAGGAGCAGGGTGTGGGCTCATTCATTCCTGCACCCAGCAAATACCTGCTCTGTGCCTGCTATGTTCCAGGCACCGTTCTAGATAGTGGGGATAGTAAAGTGAACAAGAGATGTATATTCCCTGCCCTCATGGGATTTCCAATCTAGTTGGGGAGACAGACAGTATAAACAAATGTATAATATAACATCAGGCCATAAACAGGTAGAGCGAATGCACAGATCCAGGGCCCAGGATGCTTTTGGTGTGTTTGCAAAACAGCAATAAAGCCAATCTGGCTAGAATAAAGTCTTTAAGGGAAAGAGTGAGTTCTGGTGAGTAAGGGCTCATAGACCATAGAAAGGTCTTTGGATTTCATCCTGGGTCTGATGGAGGATTTGAAACAGTTGGCAATTTAGACAATGACATAATTTGATTTATATTTTTAAATGTCCCCAGTATTTGGGTTGGAAATGAATCAAAAGGCTAGAAATAGACATGATCTAGGATGTCATTCTATAATTATCTACATTATTTATTGAGGGCTTACTATGTCATGGAGTATCATATATTAGCTCAAATAATGCTTACAACATCAAAAGACACCTTTTAGTATCTCCACTTCACAGCTGAAGTGCTGAGGCATGGAGAAGTTAAGAAAGGGTTAGAGGCAGGTTTTGAACCCAGGTCATCTGCCTCTGCCCCGCAGTGCTGCACCACCTCTCTGTAGTAGTCTGGGAAGATCATGGTGGTTTGGACATGATGGCAGCCAGTAGAGGCTGTGAGAAGTGATCAGATCCCAGTTATACTTCAGAATTTGTGCTGATAAGGCTAGCATCTGAACTAGCTGGGAGGTATGAGACAAAGACAGTTGGAGACCATTACTTCAAACATACTGATTTCAAAGTTCTGGCTCTAGTAAGAGCCACGACCTCCGACTCAGTGATTTATAAACCTGGAGACTCAACAGAAGCTTTCACAAACACAGATTCTAGAACCTTATGCTACATTCACTGAAGGAGGCATTTCAGAGTGGGGCCCAGGAACCTGCATTTTAAGACCACTTCCCACGTGATCTCAAGGCAGCTGATCCCTGGGCTGCAGTTGGCCTCATGTCATAACTCCTGAAATGTAAGGACTAAGAGCACCCGAGACATGACAGTGCCACCTACCTACAGATGACGACATCAAGGCCCTGAGATGAAAGGAACTTGACCCAGTTAATAAGTGACAGCCCTGGGACTAGACTCCGGGGCCAGTGCTGCGTCCACTGCCCCGTGCGGACTCCTCCTGACAGCACCACATTGCTCACCTGCCTCATTCCTCACTCAGGGTCAGGCAGAGGACCCTGAATGTCCTCTGAGGCCATGGGAAGAGCATTATACTTGGAGCCAGAGAAGTGGATTCAGGCCCAGGCCCAGTGACCTTACCATCGGAGAGCTCCTGAGAAAGTCCCTTTACCTCTCCGAGCTTCAATTTCCTCACTGGTAAAATGGAAACATAAGGTCCTCCTACTATTGCTATTTTACTGGATAAAATCATACACATAAAACACATGGCAAGACCTTAATACTGGTTACTGTTTGGGTTTGTATGACCATTAACCCAGATTTCCTGGTTCCTAGTACGTCTTTCTCCAACAGTGTTCATGAGGATTTTGAAGTTTCGTGTCTCCAAGGTCAAATGCAGGTACTCCAGGAGGAAAGAACAATGTTAAATGTTGCGACCAATGCTATAAGGAGCTTGAGAGTCAAGCAGCAGGTAAGAGGGCTCAGAGGGGCAGGTGAGAACTAGGAGAGAGGAGTGACAAATGACACAAACGCCATCAGCCCTGCCGCAAGTACACGGAGATTACATAACGGTGAGTCCCTAAATAGCTTTCTACATTCTCAGAAAATATCAGATAAATATCTTAGAAATACAGGCCACGGACCGGGCGTGGTGGCTCAAGCCTGTAATCCCAGCACTTTGGGAGGCCAAGAGATCAAGACCATCCTGGTCAACATGGTGAAACCCTATCTCTACTAAAAATACAAAAAATCAGCTGGGCATGGTGGTGCGTGCTTGTAATCCCAGCTACTGAGGAGGCTGAGGCAGGAGAATTGCCTGAACCCAAGAGGTGGAGGTTGCAGTGAGCAGAGATCGCCCCACCGCACTCCAGCCTGGTTAACAAGAGCGAAACTCCGTCTCCAAAAAAAAAAAGAAAAAAGAAATACAGGCCACATACATATCCTGTTGCAAATTTTTTTCCTTCTTCTTTTATTTTAAAACTCTTAAAAATGTAAAATCCATTCTTAGTTGACAGGTCGTACAAAAATAAGCCCCGCGGCCAGATGTGGCCTGCGGTCATTGTTTGCCAACTTCTGCTCTAGACTATAAGCTCATGGAAGGCAAGATCCATATGTAATACGTGTAGCACTGCATCCTTCAGAGCCTGAAATGCAGCAGGGCACTCACTAAATTGTTGTGAAATATAATTTACCTGAAGTAGGCCAGGCAGGATTTATTATTCCCACTTGACAGATAACAAAAATGCAATCAGAGAGTCAATGTGACTTACCCAAAGCACGTAGCGAAGAGACTGAGCTGCATAAGCAGTTACACGTGTACAACAGTTTGCACCTCACAGAGTGCTTCCCACGGATTGTCTGAGCCTCAAAACAACCCTATCAATTAGCTGTTGTGGCTGCCTTCCATTTTAGAAATGAAAAATTGAGGCCGAGTTCAATCACCTGCCCAGAGAACACACTAATATGCAACATGATCCCATCTAGATCAGTGCTATCCAATAGAAATATTAGGTGAGCCACAAATAGATTTTCAATTTTCTAACACCACATTTTTAAAAGAAGAAATCCAAGTATAATTCATGTAAATACTATATTTTATTTAATTCACTGTATCCAGAATGATATCATCTTAGCATGTAATCAATATAAAAAATGTAAACTGGGATATTTTTCATTCTCTTTTCCTATAGTCTTTGAAATCCAATATCCATTTTACACTTACAGCATATCTCAATTTATGAGCCACGTTTCATGGGCTTAACAGTGACATTAGCTTCTGTACTGAACAGCTCTGGAGCAGGTATTAGCAAATTCTTCTGTAAAGGATCAGATAGATATCTTGGGGTTTACAGGCCACGCATGTGCTCTGTTGTTTTGCATATTCTTTTTTTTTTTTTTCAACTCTTTAAAAAGTAAAATCCATTTTTAGCTGACAGGTTGTACAAAATCAAGCCATGAGCCGTATTTGGCTTGTGGGTCATCATTTGCCAGCTTCTTCTCTAGACTATAAGCTCCTGGAAGGCAGGAGCCATGTCTAACGCATGCACTGCTGCATCTTTCCATGCCTAAAATACAGCAGGCACTCACTAAATAAATGTGGAATGGGATTTAACTGAAGTAAGTCAGGCAGGATTTATTATTCCCACTAGACAGATGACAAAAATGAAATCAGAGTCAATGTGACTTATCCAAAGCACGTGACTAAGCCCCAAACTGTGCGGCTTCCAGACACTTCTCTTTCCCACATCACGCTTCTTTTAATACCTGTTGCCACCTGTTTCATAGCTGCATTGGCGGTCACTCTGATTTTTAGCTCTCTTTGCCTCCAGACTTGATCTTGAGCTCCCGGAAGCCCCATCCAGCCTAGCAGAGAGGAGGAGTTGTGAGTCCTGCACATTATAGGAGAGGAGCCTGCTCCCAGCGGGCCCCACCATTCACGACGAAAAGCTCAGGTCTTGCTCCTGTCCCTCCAGTCCAGGATCTCTCTGGAAATGAGTGCTCTTGTATGTTTAGAGAAAATCCATTTCTATTCTCCTCTTCAAGCTAAAAACATCTGCCTTCTTCACAAAGAAGTTAGTGAACCAGTTATAATTACACACCATACACTGGGGAGCATGAAAGTGACATTTAGCAACACTTAAGCCTCAGCTCTGTGGTGGCTGCAGTAAACATTATATAATTGCTGTGGCATCGATCCCAACAATTAACGCCAAAGAGCAGAGACAGAATGGAAGTTCTCCAAGAAACTGCCACGACCTGAGAGTAAAATGGAGCCCAAAGTCTCTCTTGAAGCAGATTCTCCCTCCTCCAAATGTTAAGACTTTTTTTTCTTTTTTTTTTTTTTTAATGTTATCAATCCAAACAGCTTTCAGTACAGTCTTCCAGGTTTGAGGGGACCACGAAGCAGACAGGCAGGTAGAGATGGGAACCCAAGGAAGTGCTCTGACGAGCTGATCTTCTTCACCGCCCCCCAACCCCATTCCAGCCCATGACATTGGTGAATGTGGAGAACTGCAAGGTCAGTGTGGCTGGATCCCAGGAGGCAAGGAGTGGGGCTCATGAAAGGGACCTGGTGAGGTTAAGGCCCAGGGAGGTTAAGGATCAGTCTTGCCTGGAGGCAATGCAGAGCCTCTTGGGTCGGAGGAGGGCTATGTTCTTATAAGGAACAGGGCCATTTTGTTTTTAAAGAAGCAGGGAGATAAGGAGAGACTGGTAATGGCTGAACTGTGGTGTGGGGAAGAAAAGAAGTGGACAGATCCAAGGGGTCTTTAAGAGAAAAAATGGACAGGACCTGATGAGAGATGGGACATAGAGTAAAGAGCATCTTAGGCTTCTGGCTTCAGTGACTGGAAGGCTGGTAGTACAGAACCCTGGAAGGAGGGAAGACAGGTTTGGAGGGAAAAAACAATGTGTTCAAATGTTGGGTACATTCATCATAAGGTGACTGTGAGGTGTACAGATAAAAAGGGAAACTGGAAATGGGGCTCAGAATAAAGGTTGGACAGAAACCAGGAAATGTGGGTCATCTGCATCCGGGAAGTGACTGACAGTGGAGGTAGGTGAGTTACCTGGGACAAGGAAATCCAGTGAGTAGAAAAGAGAATCAGGGGTACTCCAGGGAAGGAATGAGTAAAAGAAGAGGCTCCAATCATAGAGACTGGGAAGAAATATCCAGAGAAGGCAAAAGAGAAACAAGGAGAGCAAGGAAGTCCCAGAACCAAGGAAGATAAGTTTGGAAGTAAGAGGTGCACCGCCGTGCCTGATTCTGCAGCCGGAAGCAATGAGATGCCATCAGTCATCAAAGGTTTATCCAGCATGACCACGTGCCTGCTACTTCTCTAGGTGCCGAGTAGAGCACAGTCAAGTGAACACAACCCGGAAGACGCCCTACCCTCATGGAGACTTCCTTCTAATGTAGAAGTACAGATTACACGCAAATAAATAGGTAAATTTATTAGGTGTATGTAGTGGGTTGAATAGTGGCCCTAGAAGATACAACCAAGTCTTAACCTCTGGTACCTGTGAATGGGACTTTACTTCTGAAACAAAGTCTTTCTCAAGATGAGATCATCCCAGAATTAGAGTGAGTCTAAATCCCGTAACTGGTTTCCTTATAAGATAAAGAAGAGGAGAATCTGAGACATACAGACACACCGAAGTGAAAACCATGTGAAGACTGAGGCAGAGATGGGAGCAATGTCTCCACAAAACAAGAAATGCCAAGGATTTTCAGCAGCTCCCAGAAACTAGGAAGAAGACCTGGGACAGATTCTCCCAGAGCTTCCAGAAAGAACCAGCCCTGCCCACACCTGGATTCCAGGCTTCTGGCCTCCAAGACCGAGAACACACATTTTTGTTACTTTAAGCCACACAGTTTGTGCTAATTTGTTATGGCAGTCCAAGGAACTGCAGTGTGTTAGAAGGTGACAAGTGCGATGGAGAGAGAGACAGACCGGAAGAGAGAGAGAGAGAGAAATGGAAGGTGGGGAGTTGGTCAGAGAAGGCTTCACTGATGAGATGAGGCAACTAGCTATGCAGCTGTCTGGAAGAAAAGATAAAAGGGACAAACAGTGCAAAATCCCCGAGGCAGGAATCTGCCGGGACGATTCAAGAAAAGCCAAAGGGTCCAGTCCAATTGGGCAGGGCTGTCAAGAGGCAGAATACTAGGCAATGAGTTGAGAGGGAGAACATGGGGTGTGGAGGAAGGTTCTGTGTGCTGGGTTTCTCCAACTGCAATGTGCGCATGAATCATCCAAGCAATGTGTTAAAATGCAGGTATAAGATTCCCCCTTTATAACAAGCTCCTATACTCCTATAGTCAAGCTCCATGACTGCTAATGGCTGTGTCGAGCACGAGGGTAAAGGACAATGTCTTTCAACCCAGAGTGGTTATCAGAGGCATCTGAGAAGCCTTCGGGGGAGGGAAAAATAATAGAACCATGCCCCAGACCAATTAAATTGGAATCTCTGGAAAGTGAGACCCAGGCACAGGGAATTTAATAGCTCCCTAGGTGATTCTAATGTGCAGTCAGAATTCAGAATCACTGGTCTAGAGCCTTGTAGATTTTTAAAGGACTTTCTTTTTCTCTGAAAGAATTGGAAAGAGATGAGAGGGTTTTGGGCAAAGGAGTGACGTGATTTGATTTATGTCTTAAAAGGGTGACTTTGGCTTCTGGCTTCTACTCGGGTTGTAGCAAGCTGGAAAGAGCATCCCTTCCACGGTTGTAACAACAGAGAGGCCACATAATCTGCAAATTAACAACTTCCTGAAAGCTGAGGTCTCTGGGCAACCAGCTCACCTGAAATCTAAAGACAGGCATTCTTAAAACCCCACCTAGATTCTTCTTGCCTCTCTCCTCAAAGGAATGGAAGTTTCAACCAGTGAAAGAAGAGCAGCAAAGCCTTCCTTCCCTGCCACTCTCAGGCCACAGCTAAGGATTCATTACAGCTTGGGGACTGTGTATGAATCTGCCAGTGCTGCCGTAACAAAACACCACAGGGCAGGTGACTTAAACAACAAAAATGTATTTTCTCACAGCTCGGGAGGCTTAGCATCCAAGGTGAAGGAGTCAAGAGATTTGGTTTCTTCTGAGGCCTCTCTCCTAGGCTTGCAGATGACCATCTTCTTGCTGTGTCCTCATGTGGTCTCTCCTCTCTGTGTGAGCTCCCCTTGCGTCTCTTTTTGTGTCCAAATTTTCTCTTCTTAGAAGGATGCAAGTCAGATTAGAATAGGGCCCTCCCTAACAGCCTCATTTTAACTTAATTACCTCTTCAAAGGCCCTATCTCCAAATATAGCCACAATCTGTTACTGGGAGTTAGGACTTCAACATATGAAGCTGGGAGAGGGAGTACAATTCAGCCCTCAACAGAAGAGAAATCCCCCCAAAACACTTTTAACCCTGGAATGGGACTAGGGAAATGTCCTGGACCATCATTAGAGATTCTCTGCCCCTGAGGAAGGGATATAATTACTGAGGATGTTCTCTCACCAAGATTTAATGTTAGCCCAACACCTAAGATTTGGAATAAACAAGAACAACAAAGAATGCCCCTGACATCCCCCATCATAAGACCATCAAGCAAGAATAAATGTAAATCTAGTATTGGGAGAGGAGCAAGAGCATGGAAACATACTTTCTAAGATGTAGGTGCAAATGGAGAAGACCAAACCTCTGGCAAAATAGTCACTACAATAAGCATGGGGTGACACCAGAATAATTTTTTTTTAGATGGAGTCTCGCTCTGTCGCCCAGGCTGGAGTGCAGTGGTGCATTCTCAGCTCACTGCAACTTCTGCCTCCCAGGTTTAAGCAGTTCTCCTGCCTCAGCCTCCTGAGTAGCCGGGACTACAGGTGCACATTATCACACCCAGCTAATTTTTGTGTTTTTAGTAGAGATGGGGTTTCACCAAGTTGGTCAGGGTGGTCTCAAACACCTGACCTCGTGATTGGCCTGCCTCAGCCTCCCAAAGTGCTGGGATTACAAGGTGTGGGCTACTGTACCAGAATTTAAATGTTGAAGTGCTCTGAGGATAACCATAAAAACAGCAAAACCCAAGCCCAGCTCCACTCTTAACTAGATGACTCAACCCCCAAAATAAAAGACCCAGCAAGAGAAAAGGTCAATTCTTTGCAAGAATAAATATTGCTTATCTCAGTCACTACTGTTGTTACAGTCTGACCAATGCACCACAATGCACCACAGGCAGTCTCTTGTTGTGAGGTATCACCCAGAGTTCTTTGTCCCACGATCAAGAGAATTAAAGATTGTGAACACAAAGGGTAAGCTTGGAGCGAAAGTTTAATAAGCAAAAGAAGAAAGCTCTCTGTGTCGGACAGGGAGCCTGGAAGGGGACTGCCATTTTTACAACTGAATGCAAAGGCTTTTATAGGAAACCAATGAGGGATGGGTGTCCCATTTGCATAAGGTGTGAATTTCTGATAGGTCCACCCCATCCTAACACACATGTGGGCCCTTAGCTTGAGTAACTCTATATTGCTTTGTTCCCCTTACTGTGAATGTGTCAGGGGATGGAATTTTCCATTGAAGGTATGTCTGGGCAAGTAACCTGTATAGCCTTTCTTGTTTGTGTGGCTATGGGCATGTCTTAGACAAGCCCCCATATGCAAGTTCCCTTATCTGTGCCCACAGGCTATTCTTCTGTTTGAAGGGATTCAACCAAAGACACAACCTAACTGCCTGCCTGTCCAGGATATTCCCTTTCTCCTCTGTCACTGTCTTTCGTGTGTCACAGGCATGACACACAAAAAAATACAAAATAAAATCACTGATAAGAGACAAAGCAATCAATAGGACAAGACCCAGATGTGTCCAAGATGTTGGAAATACCATCTAGAAAAGCTAAAATAATATTAGTTAATATATTCAAGCCTTCAGTGGAAAGGGCACCCAGCATGCATGAACAGCTGTGTAATTTTATCACATAGTTGAAAACCTAAAAAATTTTAATGAAATTACTAAAACTGAAAACAAAGTAACAGAGATAAGGAATGTCTTCAATAGCCTCATCAATAGAATAGACACAAGCTGAGGAATCAATTTACCCAAACTGAAACACAACAGAGTGAAA